AACAGTCACTTAGGCTTTTATATAGAGAGATGACTATTTTGCAACTGCCAATGTGTACTTCTTAATCCCTTCACCTTTTCACCCATCCCTCAAACCACATTGCATCTGGTAACCCCAGTTTGTTCTCTGTATCTATGAGTCTATTTCTGCTTTCTTTTTTTTTTCAATCATCACCTGAGGATATTTTTTGAGAGAGAGTGGAAAAGAGAGAGAAAGATAGAGAAACACATTTGAGAGAACTTGATTTGAGAGAAACACATGAATTGGTTGACTCCTGCATGTGCCCTGACCAGGGCCCAGGCCGGAGAGGAGCCTGCAACGGAGGTATGTGCCCTTGACTGGAATCGAACCTGGACCCTTCAGTCTGCAGGCCAATGCTCTATCCACTTAGCCAAACCAGCTAGGGCTCTGTTTTCTTTTTTTCACTTACTGATTTCAGAGAGGAAGGGAGAGGGAGAGAGAGATAGAAACATAAATTATGACAATCATCAATTCGCTGCTTCCTGCATGCCCCCTCTTGAGGATGGAGCCTGTAATCCGGGCATGTGCCTTGACCTGGAATCAAACCATGACCTCCTGGTTCATAGGTCAATGCTCAACCACTGAGTCACACCAGCTGGACTGTTACTAGGAATTTATCCATTTCTTCCAGACTGTGTAATTTGTTGTCATATGGTAGTTTGTAGTATTTCCTTATAAGCATTTGTATTTCTGCAGTGTCAGTTGTTACTTCTCCACTTCATTTATTTTATTTATTGGGGTCCTCTCCTTTTTTTCTTGATAAGTCTGTTTAAAGGTTTATCAGTCTTGTTTATCTTTCCATAGAACCAACTCTCAGTTTCATTGATCATTTGTATTGTTAATTTTTAGACTCTATTTCATTTATTTCTGTTCTGATCTTTATTTACTTTCTTCTACTCACTTTGGGCTTTGTTTGCTGTTCTTTTTTCAGGTCTTTAGGTTTAAGATTAGATTGTTTATTTGAGATGTTTCTTGTTTCTTGAGATTTTTTTTTCTATGAATTTTTCTATTCGAACTTTTACTGTGTTCTATAGATTTGGGGTTGGTGTGTTTTCATTTTTATTTATCTCACGTATCTTTTGATTTCTTCCTTGATCTCCTTGTTAATCCATTCATTTTTTAGTAATGTATTTAGTCTCCATATATTTGTGTTTCTCAGGTTTTTTTTTCCTTGTAATTGATTTCTATTTGCATACCACTGTGGTTGGAGAATATGTTTGATATGATTTCAATCCTCTTAAATTTACTGAGACTTGTTTTGTAGCCTAACATGCTGTCTATCCTAGAAAAAGTTCCATATATACATTTCTATCTAGTGAACAGAAACCTTGCTGCTTTTCATAGCCAGATATTATGTGGGCACCTCTTCCAGCTCTGGTGCTCTGGAATGTGAAACCTGGTTTGGGGTTTAGACCCCATGCTTCTAGGGGGAAACCGTCACAGCTGAGATAAACCTCGAACCTCGGCCATAATCCTTGGAAGGTAGGCCAGCCCTTTTCGCATCTCTGCCCTTCCTATCAGTCTTGATGTGGCTTCTTCTGTAAATTCTTGCTTATAAAACTTCTCTTCAGCTAATCTTCAATTAGTTATTCAGGATGACTGTTCTCTAATTAAGTTGTAATTCTAATTGGGGCCTGGAGGAGGTGAGTGTACCTTCCACCTACTCCGCTGCCATCTTGGATCTCTCTCAAACTATTTCTTAATTCCAGATATCACTTACATAAATGTTGTATTACTACTTTCCATGTCAGATACTTTGCTAAGTTTTGTTTTTGTCACATCTTTGAAAAAAATCATAATCCTGCATAAATCCAACTTTTGTCACCCATTTGCCTGAACCCCTGTTGTTAATTTGGACAAAAGAAAAATGTACATCCATGTTGAATGGTCTTGTGTTAAATTTTTTACCATAAAACTAAAATGAATCCTTAATGCTGATCACTTATTACACTACTCCTAAGTCGTTGCTAACTCAATCCCTCTCCCAGTCTCAAACAAGTATTCTAATCTTTTCCTCTCTCCACAAACTCTGGACAATTAATTCACCATCCTTATTCTCAGATAATAACCTTACATTCTACATTACTGAGAAAATAAAAATAATTCCAGGACAATTTGCACAGAGCCTTTAACCCACTTACCACCCTCTGCATTCACCACACCTACCTACCCACAGCATCTGCATTCACCACACCTACCCAATCACCATCATCTATAGTCACTACATCTCCCTAACCACCAGGATCTGCACCCACATTTGCCTCCCACCTGATATTGGGATGAACGCTCCATTTTCTTGTCTAAAGCCAGTCCCTCCAATTGTGCTCTGAAACCCATCTCTTCTTACTTGCTCAAGAACACTCCAGAAATTCTCTCTTCCTCCAACATCATCGTTTTTCATTCTCTACTCCATTATTTGCCTCACCATGCAAACATACCATTATTTCTCCCATCTTAAACATAAAAAGAAAATGATATTTACCCCACTTCCACTTTATCAAATCATCCATTTCTTTACTCATCTTTGTAGCAAAACTCCTGGGAAAAGTTGCCTATGTCAGCTTTTAAAATATTTATCTCTTTCCAATCACTAAAACACACACTAACAAAGTTTTGATCCCTTTCCTCTAAAGGAACTTCTCTAGCCCAGGACACTTAGTGACCTTTACATTGCACAATTCAAGGTCCTCATCTTATTTAACCTGTCAGCAGCATTTGGCACAGTTGTCACTCATTCCTCCTTGATATACTCTCTTTTACTTGGCTTCTCTTCATTTCATTCTTTTCTTAATGGCCCTTCTCAGTTTCCTTTGGAAAAAGGAAGAAAAAAACTTGATCTTATCCTTAACCTCTTGATGTTGGAATATTCCAAGCTCAACTCTTGGTCCTTTTATCTTTTCTACTTATACCCACTCTTCTAGGCTCATGCCAATGACTCCCAAATTTATATCTTCAGCCAATGTACTATTTCTCCCAAAATTCAGATTCAGCTTTCTACTTATGTCTTAAAGACACCTCAAGGTCAACATGTCCATACTGAACTCCTTATCTTTTTCCAAAAACTTACTACATCTATAGCCATCCGATTTCAACTGACAGCAAGTTTATCTTTCAAGATGTTCAGGCCAAAATCCTTAGAGTCATCATTGTCTCTTGTTTCATTCAAATTCTTTCATCAGGAAATTCTGTTGGCTCTACTTTCAAAATATATCCAGAATCAGATTATGTCTGATTACCTCCATTGCTACCACACTAGTCTGAACAAATATCATTTCTCACCGGGTTGCTTCAATAGCATCTAATAGGTCTCCTGTTTCTGCTTTTGTTCCATACACAGCAGCCAGAAGGATACTTTTAGACCTAAATCAGATCATGTCACTCCTCTATTCAAAATCCTACAATTGATCCCCTCTTACAGACAATCTCCAAAGTCTTTTCATTGGCCTAAATGGCCCCACATGATTTTACTCCTATTGTATCTCTGACCTCATATCCTAATATTCCCACCATTGTTCTTTTGCTCCAGACACAGTGGTTAGTTAATAAATATTTTAAACAAATCAAACCCAGTCTCCAAGGAGCTCACAGTCTACTGGACCAAACAGGGGTAGACGGTGTAATTAAAGTTCTCTTCTGTTTCCCATTCAAAACTCTGGGAGGTGAATGTTAAAGGTTGAGAAATTTGCAAAGGCTGGGAGTGATGTTAGAGAACACAGAAAGGAAGGAAGGACTTTTCAGGTAAGATAAGCATTGCAAGTGCAAAGATCTGGAGAGATGAATCAGCAGCATATTTACAGAATTACAAATAAAGCATCAAAAAATAACATTTGAGATAAGGGAATCTAGATGTAGGAGGCAAAAATAAATATGGTTTACACTTTGGCTAGGAGTCAGATCACGAAACACTCTCTATTTGTTTCTTTCCTAAGAGTTTTCAATATGATCACAGAGCAATTTATTAAATAACCATGTAATTTTGATGCACCTCCTCGACAGGGCCAAAGCAATATTTGGAAAGGATTCTGAATCCCCCAAGTTAAAGATACAAAGGAAAAACCTAGAGTCACATTTAATTTGATAAGGTAAAGGAGTGGGTGTGCTACTATATCAAATTTAATTTGTATAAAATCATTATCTCTGGTAACATTATTTCTCTTGATCTATTTCGTTTAGACTACTTTAGCAAGGCTTGATCTCCCTGTCTATCTAAACATCGATTCACTTACAGCAAGCTTCAGGATAACACTGGTCTTATTAATTCCTGATAAATCCACAAGGTGTTAGTTGCACACAATATTGTATAAAAGGTGAACTGAGACCTAACTCAGTCTACAGCTTTCCCCAGACAAGGCAGTGGACCACAGGTGAGTCTCAGCACCTATAGTTATCAAGGGGTGACAGTTACTTTCTAAATTACAGATTTTTCAGGATCTGGGAAAAAAACCTAGAGCTTTTGAACTGTCATGTAGGAAATTTGGGTTTGTCAACCTAGCTTCTTAAATATGGTTAATACAGCATATACTCCCTGTTAGCATGCAATTGACTTTATAGACCTCTGAAGCAAAGGTGAGTAAAAGCAAATGAAAATATTTATGAGATGCTAACAATGATGAACTAATTTTGTAGGACAGAATTTTCTTCTTATTTTTAAACAAAAATAATCTTTAAAATGATAACACGGGGACAAATATGATCACAATGATTTTCTTCAGAGTAATCATTTTAAGACAATTAGGAGTAATACTCTAATCTTTAAAAACTGTTTTACTTACATCATTATATTGGAGTTTTGACCTATGTTTCTACTTTGACAAGAAAAAAAATGAAGAAGGAGGAGGGTAAGAACAACTATTTGTTCAACAAACTAGGAAGAAAAATAATTGCTGCAGCAAATGTGACTGGGGCAGATGAGTAAACCAATTCATTTTGGTTTGGTCCACTTACGTAATGATTATAACTCTTTGGGTTTTGTTTTCTCATGGCTTTAATTGTTTGCTTCATAGTCCAGGATGAAGTCAGTCCAGTTGTACTTTCTTCTCTGTTGCTGGAAAGCAATGTGCTGCAATAGCTGTGAGCTGACCAACATCACCATCACAGTGGAGAAAGAGGAATGTCGCTTCTGCCTCAGTATCAACACCACTTGGTGTGCAGGCTACTGCTACACCCGGGTAGGAACTCTGCTTTGCGGGAGGTGAGGGTGTTGAGGGTCTATTGAGGACAATTTTTATTAATTCCCATTTTATTCATATTTTAAGTTTTCAAAGTAATAGCCATGAGTCCCTTAGCCAAATACTGTCTGTGTTATGATTAAGGTTAATTACCATGATATCAGTTAGATATTTGGGTTTGAATTTGATTAGGGTAAATTCAGGGAGGCCTCAGATCTGATTTAATCAATCAGGCAGTATGCCAACTCTGTATTAAAATAAAAAGGAATGTCAAGGGGGAAAAAAAGAAGACATATGTAATACTCTTTGTAATACTTTAAGCAGCAAAACAAAACAACAACAACAACAACAAAAAAGAAACTGCAAGTCAAAAATAAAATAAAAAAGAATTCTATGATAGATTTTACATATAGAGAGGTAAACATGCAAGCATACATATATTTAGTAATAGAAGATTTACAATATTCACCAAAAGCTAATTTCTAGGAAGATGTATTTCATGTATGTCATGTATTTCTATTTCTACGTAACTGAAGCTATATCCTTGCAATGGAGATAGTACCAAAATATGTTTCTCAGCCACATAAAAACACAAACAGCCACACTATAAACACTGCCGTATTGTCCCTCCTGAATACAAATGCCAGCAACCATCCTGAGAACACATTCAGTCCTTGCAGACTGTTACAACCAAATGAATCTGCAAACCCACTCACTTCTTTATACTGCTGAGAAAACCAAGGCAGAGAGGCATAAAACTACTAGTTTGTGGTCACACAGTTTCTTTGCATCAATCCAAGTAAGAAGGCAGCTCCTACTTTTTCTTTATTTTTGCCTCCTATTACACCTGTTTTTTTTATGCAGAATTCCATAATGTGTGTGTGTGTGTGTGTGTGTGGTTTGTTTGTTTGTTTTTCACTTTTTTAATCCTCACCTGTGGATATTTTTTCCATGGGTTTTTAGAGAGAGTGGAAGAGAGAGGGAAAGACAGAGAGAAATATCAATGTGAGAGAAACACATAGATTGATTGCCTCCTGCACCAGCCCCAACCAGGGCCTGGGCCAGGGAGGAGCCTGCAACCGAGGTACATTCCCTTGACCAGAATCAAACCTGGGACCCTTCTATCTGCAGGCCAACACTCTATACACTGAGCCAAACCAGTTAGGGCAAAATAGCAACTTTTTAATGAAATATACTTTATTGGTAGCAAATAAGTATGATCAACCTCCACTTAATGTACAGTTTATTGTACCTTCTTATGATATACATTTGGTAGCATGATATTAAAATAAACTAAGCAGCTGTGATAATTTCTTCCCTCAGTGCAAATAATTTTTTTTATTCAAAAGTGTTAGGACACACCTGTTCTTCCTGGATTAAAATGTCTTACATGCAAACCATGTACCCTTTGAAACTGAGAGCACTGCAAAATATAAAGCACTTAAGGCAAGAAAATGTCTACAGGACTTAGAATATTTAAAATCTTATGTGAGCCTTTATAGTCATGTTAAACTAAGCATTAACATTCCATATTATGTCTCTTTGACCTTCTAAAAACACAGGGACAATGTATTTGGAAATGTTTATTGAGAAATTAAACCTCAGTGTTTTATGGTTTAAGTTTTTATTAACACAGCTTTCAACTAAGTACAAACAGTCAACTTAAGCCCTACCTGGTTTGGCTCAGTGGACAGAGTATTGGCCTATTGACTGAAGGGTCCTGGGTTCAATTCTGGTCAAGACCATGTACTTCAGTTACAAGCGCCAGGGCAGGTGCAGGAGGCCACCAATCGATGTGTCTCTCTCACATCAATATTTCTCTCTCTGTCTGTCTCTCCACCTTCTTTCCACTATCTCTAAAAATCAATGCAAAAATGTCCTCAGGTGAGGATTAACAACAACAACAACAAGTCAACTTAAAATGTCTGTCATGTCTCCCTTGCTCATCATTTTTCTATATTAAAAATATATATTTTGATATATTCGAAGTCTCTCTATGGTTTGAGAAATAATTAATATTTTGATATAGACAGAAGGAGGAAAAGGAATGAATTGTATTTTCTGTAAGATTTCCAGAACAACCAGGAACATGGTATAGCATAAAGGTAGATCATTTATGAGATCACGTTCCCTTAGTTAGGGTTTCCTTAAGTGAGCTTTAATGGGTAAATGTTAGAGCAAGCAGTATTAAATTCCTATCTCATTTTGATTAAGCTAAGCAGAAACTCCAGAATACTGTAACCTAACTCTCTCCTCCCTAAACTCCTCAGGATCTGGTGTACAAGGACCCAACCAGGCGCAATACCCAGAAAGCATGTACCTTCAAGGAGCTGGTGTATGAGACAGTGAGAGTGCCTGGCTGTGCTCACCATGCAGACTCCGTATATACGTACCCGATAGCCACTGAATGTCACTGTGGCAAGTGTAACAGAGACAGTACCGACTGCACCGTGCAAGGCCTGGGGCCCAGCTACTGCTCCTTCAGTGAAATAAAAGAATAAGGAGCAATGGACATTTTAGGCTGCCTACCCCTGTCCTGAAGGACAAAGATATCTGAAAAGTCCATGTGTGTACAACATGCAAAAGGTTGCAAGCCACTGTGGGCTGGGGGAGCATCAGACCCCACTGACCCCGGCCTCTCCAGAACTTGAGAGTGCAAGAATTGAGAGTGGTGGAGCCAGGAGCCTGGCACCACTCCATCCTGTATCTAAATCGGGTTCCTTAAGTTTTATTTTAGTCTTACTTAACTTATAGACACATGGGTACCTTCTGTGTATTAATCTTAGAAACCCTCTTAGTCAATCCTTCCCCTTTGGATAGGGTTACCTACACCCAGAAATGAGATGGGAGTGGGTGAAAGTAACTGATGCTGCATTCTTTTGATGGACTCTTGGGCCCTCTAAAGCAGGGCCCTCCCATCATCTCCTTCATCATTGTAGCCTCAGTACTAACACCATGCCTGGGATTTAGTAAGAAACTCAACAATGGCTTCCTTAAGGAAAGTAAGAACAGAAAGGTAGGGGGTAGGAAAACACTGAAAAAGGATGGCTGATGAGGCTGCCCCAACAATGCCAGTCAGTCCATGGGAATGAGGGCATCAGTTCCACCCCATCTCTCCTCCTCTGGCACACGGGACAGGTTGCACCTCTCTGAATTGCTCGGTACAGATGGGAACTAAGATTTCCAAGCTATTACTACCAAGCCCTTTAGATAAGGGCAAAATCAAGAAATGTTAATGTGGGCCTATGGAAATTAGCCCACGTCTACTCCAACATTTAAATAAATTGAACAAATTCTGCCAGGCTCCCGCAAAACTCCCTTTGGAAAGTAAAACAAAAGAAAACAAAAATGTGTTACCCTGCCCTCTGGACTGGATTCGCTCCTTGGAATAGAAAGGGATTTGAAAGTAGGTTTGAAAGCAATTTCAGCAACTTATTAAGTGCATTTATCTTATCTACAAATACATTTGTGTAAATAAATAGCTCTTTTAGAAAGAATTTGCCATGAAGGAAAAGAAAACCTGCTTTCTAGAATCCTCTATATCAGTCTTCTCTTTTGTTTATTCACGTTCTCCCAAACCTATGATTTCTTTCAAGAAGGTACATATTGAAACTGTTTCATGAGTTGATTTTTTAAAGATGTTACCTCTCTAAGTTATGTACTTGTTTCACACTTAAAATGTTTTAACTAACTTATTCAATCCTACCTTATTTTTTAAAATAAAGATGCTAGCCACAGCCGAAACCGGTTTGGCTCAGTGGATAGAGCGTCAGCCTGCGGACTGAAAGGTCCCAGGTTCGATTCCGGTCAAGGGCATGTACCTGGGTTGCGGGCACATCCCCAGTAGGAGATGTGCAAGAGGCAGCTGATCGATGTCTCTCTCTCATCGATGTTTCTAACTCTCTATCTCTCTCCCTTCCTCTCTGTAAAAAATCAATAAAATATATTTAAAAAAAAAAAAGATGCTAGCCACAGTCATAAATTTGAATTTTTTCACAAACAGCTAACATATGTGCATGTTTATAATAGTAGCAGAAAAAATCTTAATGTATAATTCCTAATGCTTCTGTAAATATTTTATGTCCTCGCCTTTGAAAATATTAAAATGATTTGGTCGCATTTCTAAAAGTACTTCTTTAAAGTTCCTGTCATTTTTTGAAGTTATTTCCTGATGTAATAGAGAAACAAAGCTAAGGGAGAATCACAGAGTGGGTGGGGACCCTGGTGATTCTCCAGTTCATTTCTCAAATGTTTGACACGGAAAAATTAAAGATCAAGGATGTTAAGATCACAGTCAACATCACAAAGACTGTTCACGGCAGTACCAGGTTTAGAACCCTGGCTTCCTAGCTCTTAGTCCACCTCTCCTGTGACTCCCCCACCATACTAAGAAGTAATCATGGCAAGGACCGATGCAAAATTGTAGGAATTAATAATCAGCTTTGTCCACTCAAATCTGGTATTGAATGTGGCTTACAGGTATATTCTCTACAATATTTTGACACATTGAAATTAGGGCTATAATAACAAAGTTAGACAAGATGCTTTAAATTGCAGCATAGTCTTTTCCTTCCCCCTATACTTTTAGAAGTCAAAACAACTGCCTTTCCATTAGAGGTAGTATAGGGCAATGGCCCCAGAGTTGTCATCTTAATCTTCTTGACCAGATGTGTCATCTTGAACAAGTCATTTAAATTCTCTGGACTTCAGTTACCTCTACGACAGGTTTAGATGTTTCTTCCATTGACACTACATAGTAATCAGTTGTCAAGTCAGATTTCTATGAAACATTTACCACACTCTCATTCAAGCTATCTGCTGGCCTGTCCTAGTCAGTTCATACTGCTATAACGGAATACTACACACTGGCCCTCCTATAAACAACAGAAATGTATTTCTCACAGTTCTGGAGGCTGAGAAGTCTAAGATCAGGGCATCAGCAGATTTACTGTCTGGTGAGAGCCCACATCCTGTTTCATAGGCAGCTGTCTTTTTGTTCTATTTGCACAGTGGCAGGGAGGAAAGGAGCTCTCTGGGGCCTCTTTTGTGAGAACATTTATTCCATTCCATTGATGAGGGCTCTGCCCTCTTGACTAATTACTTCTCAAAGGCCCATCCAAATACTATCACATTGGGAATTAGGTTTCAACATATAAATATGGGGGGAAAGGCAAACATTTCAGTCTATAGCATGGCCTGTGAGAATGAAATATGAACAATCTTTCTTATGCAAAAAAATGGAAGGAAATCTATAGTTCAAAATGGTTGGCAATTTCAGCATTGAGAAGACATAAACAAACAAAATCTTAGCTGAATATAATTGAGTATGAAAGTTGGGTCAATGATTTATATAAATAAGTTGCTAGAAACATTTTTAAACTGTCTTAGGAATTTGCATTTGGTTCATTTATATTCACTATAACAAAAACAGTACTTCAATTTATAAGGTACCTCTAGGCATTTCATTTGTTAGGCTGATTTACAGTAAATTGGCTTATTGCAGCATAATAAAAAATAGTCCTTGCTATATGCCACTACAATAAATTAATCAAGCAATTCAAAATTGAATTTTCACACTACAATCTTATTTTGTTTTCTCACATCTATAAAATAATAGCATCTAGCATCATTTAAAACCAATAATATGATTCGTGCTTTGCAGAAACCAACAACAAATTAAAAACCAAACCTTTGCATTAGTAGCAACAGAAACAGCCAAGAGCGTTTGAGAAATGAGTATGATCTTCCCTTCCCTGCTACTATAGCACACGGAATCTGGGAACAAATGGGGCCTAGTATAATCGTGTGGTTGTTTTAAAGGCTGTAACACTTCAGGACAATGCAAATGGCTTCTCACATTAAAAAGACATTAAATCGCTCATCAATTTAGAAGACAAAGGCAAATGACTGCTCTCGAATTTTAAAATACATTTCTGTGAAAAATTACCTCTGAGCTGCAGGAGACCCTGAGGCCATTGTGATGTACCTCTTCGCGTGTGCTGGAAGTGATGGTAGCACTCCCCAGGGTTGAGAAAGGCAGCAGTTCTGTTGTTCAAAATATTTAAAATGAGTGATTAATCATGAGCTGTGTCATGGGCATGTGAAGTGATGGAAGATGGAAAAACTGAGAAACCAAGTGGCTCTGCAGAGGAGGTGTAATCAACCCCTGATTAATTGTGCTAATGGAAAGGAATGTGTGGATAACACAAACATCATTAAGTGCCAAATAAAAACGAGCCTGAGTTTGTCCCAAAATAAATAAATTGAAATTTTAAAATAGGAAATGTTCCTCCCTTGGAACTGTTATCCATGGTGGTGGGTCTATAATTTAACCCAAACAGTATCTTTGAAAGAATGATGCCTTGCCGTGTTAAAGGAGTTGGAATAATAACATCTGACAAAGGGAATGCACTCCAGATACATCACCTGTAGAGTAAGCATAGTTCTCTATGTACTGCCCCAATGCCTAGCCACTAGCCTTAAGGTGGACTGAAAACTGCAAAGGCAAAAGCTTATTTGTTCAAAAAATGAAAGTTCTGCCAGGGTTTCCCAGATGAGCCTGATAAAACAGATGAAAGTAATCCAGGTTTATTAAAGGTTTCCTTTTACAGGTATACAAACAGGGCTGCTTCACAAAGACACTCAGTAAAACAGGGAGAACAGCCCACTATTCATCAGCTATTTCCATCTAGCCTTGCAGCATGGGTGTTTATTCAAGCTTTCAAAACATGAAAGTCGGTGGGCATTCTGTTTCAGACAGAATGCTAAATACTACTGAGAATGGACTATGGAAAAAGCACACCTGGTTACTGCCCTGATGGAATAAAGCACCCAGCAACTCTTTGCACACAAGAAATGCACAAGAAATATAACTGGTTTTTCCTTTCAAATGTTCACTGATTCTGAAATCTCTCTGGGCTGAGAAGTCAGCTGCTAAAATATCAACTTAAATTTTTAAAGAAGGGTTGGGGTAGAGCATAAGTATCTAGGGCTCTATAATGGAAAGTACAAATAAGAAATCATACCTGGTATCAAATCCACGTGGAATAATAGGACTTGAGGAGTTTGAAGATTGTCAATATTTAAGAACATTTAAGAAATGAACTGAAAGGGCATCAGATTCCCAAGGAGATTGTTCTAAGTTTAGTGCCAACACAGAAGAGTCCAAAAAATTTGGGGGAAATGTCAAATAAAAAAGATACAAAATTAAAAATGATATATGATTACACCAAGTGAACTTTGGGAGTTGGGGAAAAAGGCAGGAAAATGCTTAGTCAATAAACCAGAGATTGTTCTTAAATATTTTATTGGATCCCTAATTATTCACACTTATTGGTTTGTATTACTGTAGAAATAAGAAGCATGAGAATTTTGATAACCTACACACAAACATCCATGCCTCTAGAATTTCATCTTGAGGATTTTGTTATTTCTTGTATGGGACCACTGAATTTCCCAGACTCCCACAACCTATCATTTTGAGCATACAAATCAGTTATATCCAAAGGGTCTAGTACCCAGTTGAAATAAACACATATAGCTGTTAAGCTTATGTGTGAAGAAACACAGGTGAGAATAAGC